AGCGCAAGCGCGAGGACTTGCAGCGCAGCAAAAGAGCTTCACGGCCTGGGCGAAGAAGGCTTGGGCTGGCAAAGTTGGCCTCCTACATCGGCATGCGAAGGAGCAGCAGACGCCGGGGTTCGAGCTGTGCACGGGCAAGCTGGAGGGCGTGGCCGACCCCGGCATACTCATGGGCATCAGGAAGGAGGAGTGGGAGCGCATCTGGACAGACCCAGTGGGCACGAAGGAGGACATAGCGTACCAGCTGGACAGGCTGCGCGACCAGGCCTGGGAGCACGAGCTGGAGGCGCTCACCCTTGATCAGCTCGACGGCGCCATCTCGGTGACGTCTGCGGCTAAAGCAAGAGGAATTGATCAGCTTGGACCGCGTGATCTCGCTCGGGCTCCCAGGCAGGCCAGAGCATGGTTACTCCACATGTTACACTTCTGCGAGAAGGAGATCACATGGCCGAGACAATGGGCTGCCACCAAGTGCGCGCTGGCGGCCAAACCGAGAGGCGGAGATCCAGCACTCGGCATGCTGGCCCTTCCTATCAAGTTATGGTCGAGAGCGAGAGGCGGAAGTTGCTCAGAATGGAGTGATGCGTTATCGGCACATTGGGACACCGCTCTCAAAGGGAGCCCAGCACTTCGAGCTGGACTGCTTCGAGCATGTCTGGACGAAGTCGGAGCAGATCTGGGGGCATCGGCGATGGCGCTTCTGCTGGACATCGAAAAGTTTTACGACGCGGTTTCACTGGTCATATTGTGCCAGATCGCCGTCAGGGCGGGGTTCCCAGCAGCGGTGGCGGCCTTGAAGATCACCGCGTTCGTGGGCCCCAGATTCTTGCAGGAACGGAACGTCCTCAGCGAGGCGATCTGGTCGACGAGGTCATTGGTAGCAGGCTCGGCGCGAGGAGTGGGATTGGCTAAACTCTTCCTTCATCCGATACTTGAACGTGCACATCGGATGGCGCCGCAGTCGTCGCTATGGACATTCGCGGGCGACACGGTGGCGCGACAAGAAGGAAGTCGACCAACGGTAGGCGATGGCATTATCCAGGCCACGGAGGTCCTCGCGGACGGCCTCAAGGAGCAGAGGATGAAGATATCCGACAAGTCGGTCTTGATCGGCACGCGCCCGAAGGACGTGGAGAAGACAGCGAAGAGCATGAGGAAGCGGCAGATCCCTGTGCGCGCGGTCACAGAGGCGGTGGACTTAGGCCTGGGCACGTCGGCGGGTAGGAAGAGGGTTACGACGATGGCGAAGCAGAGAGTTAAGGGAGCGAGATATCGATTCGACAAGATAGTGAGGTTAAGGCGTACCGCGGCCCTGGCTAAAGAGAGCAAAGGTTTGTGGAACGCAGGTGCGGCGCCACAGGCGCTATACGGTCATCAGGCGTTTGGGCCGGCACTCCATGAGCACCAACGGCTGCGACGGCAAGCTGGGCAAGTGGCTGGGGGGAAGGCTCGAGGACGAGGCTTGACGACTACGCTGGCCGTGGAGATGTGGAAGGGCGACCCTGGCATTGCAGCACGGGTGGCGGTCATAAAGGAGTGGATCAACTTGCGGCAGCGCTGCCCCGAGATCCACGCCAAGGTCGCCAAGACATGGCCGACCATCTACGGGCGTCTGTCAAAGCCGGGGCCGAAAAGATGGCGAGGATTACGAGGACCAGTTGGAGCGGTGCAGGCTACTCTAATGGGCGTGGACTGGCATGCACCAACGGCGACGGCATGGGTTCGACCAGTCGGCGATGACGAAGATTATGCAGAACAGTGGGATATCCCGTCTGTCATGGGGGGCACGTTCGAGAGCATTGGATGCTTTCAACAGCTGCTGGACGACTTCGAGGACGATGTTCGGGCCCAGTTTTGGAAGGCAGCCTCAGCACATCCCCACGGAGACGGATTGGAAGCTGGAGCAGATGTCTGGCAGATACGAGCTGAACAGCGCAGGTTCGAGAAGCAGGGACAGCTTGACATGGTCGGCCTGAACATCGCGGTGGTCACGGGAGGGCAGTGGCTGAAGCAGCGCTCCGCCGAGCAGGGGTACCTCTTGGACAGCAAGAAATGCGACAGATGCCAGGAGGCGGACGAGACGCTGATGCATCGGATCTGGATGCGCCCAAAGAACGTGGACCACGACGACTTCATCAAGTCTGAGTCACTTGTGCCCGCAGCGATGGCACAAGCTGACGCTGGCCCTGCGCGATGGCTTCGAGGACTGCCGCCAGCCTCCCTCGCCCATCCTAAATTTGATGGGGAGGTCCTGGAGGGGGGGAGGTTCGGTTTGGTGATTTGGGGGGCTGGGGGGAGTGCAGATTCGAAGGAGAGGTCCACATTTTCGGCGACGGCTCGGGAGGTCAGCACTCTGCGGACCCTCGTCGTCGCCGATGTGGATCAGCTATTGTAGCTTTGCAGCAGCGCGGCGGGGAATGGGAAGTTGGTCGTGCCTTAGCTGTCCCACTCCTTGGTCGCAGGCAAACGGTTCCCCGATCGGAGATATTAGCTTTTGCGTGGGCGCTTGAAGGGCGCCTCTCAGATTTCACTTTTGACACGGACCACAGGACGGTCGCAAAAACCTGGAAGTATCGCTTTGAGCGCCCGAGAGCCGCAGGCCCCAGCGAGGACCTGTGGACCCGAGCGAAGGCCGCCTGGCAGGTCCACCCAGGTCGAGTGATCAATGTAGTGTGGACGGCCTCACACCTTGACGAGTCGCCAGAATTGCTAGACTCCCCGCAGCAGCCGTTCCTGGCGGCAGGCAATTTAGTAGCTGATGTCTGGACGGGAGTCGGGGCGGAGCTGGCGTGGGAGTTCGGGTTGGTGGGGACTGGACCTGACACCGACAGGATAAACTCGATTGCGCACCTTGTCCGCAAGCGAGCCCGTCGTGCGCTCATGCTGGCCGCCTCGTCTGAGACGGGAGAGCGCGCTGGCAGAGCCCCACTTACCAAGAAGCCTTCCAAGCAGGAGAAAGCGATTCGCGTTTCGTCTCACCAGCTAGAGCAAGTAGGTAGCAAGTGGAGGTGCTCTCAGTGCGAGCTGAACGTTCCTGGATCCAGGTTTTTGCGTTTTTCTGTTTCGTCGCGTGCTGGGCCCCCTGGGAAAAGCGTCCCTGGGGCCCCTGACTTCACGCCGCTGAACGGAGAGGACCTTGAAATTCACCCGTCTCACTCGATCACGTTCGTTGATCGCTGGTTCTTGCAGATTTGCTCACCACCGTGGACTCGAGGTCCCTGCGGAAGAAGTGCATGGGTCTCACGCCGAACGGCGCTGAGAACATGCGCAGCATTGACCAAGGCATGTTCCCTCGGCGGGAAGGCCCCCCAAGAGCCATCAAGATGGCCATGGCTCGGAGCGGCGGGAGTCGTGTCGTGTCGGCCCACGAGGTCAATGGGGGGAGGTGCACCGTGAGCCTGAGGGGGCCCCCGCCGAACCCCCATGCATGACCCGTGCCCGCAATGACGGGCAAGAGCAGGAGCAGCTACGCCGCGTGGCCAAGGAGCTTCGGACGCAGGCGATTGTTCAGAGACTGTTGGCAGCGGCTCGAGGGCCGCAGGTTGGAGACCAACGGGTCACGCAGGGGGATTCAGACACTTCGGACTGACTGCAGCAGGCAGGATGAAGGACGGGGTGTGGACTGTGTCCGAGAGCAAAGAGGTCAAAGAGGTCCCTCCTCTCTTTCTCCCTCTCTCGGGAAGAACCTGGCGCACGGGTATACCGCCCTTCTTCTCCCTCCCTCCTTCTTCCCAACATCCTCCTGAGTCCTCCTTCCCTCTTCCTCCTCCACCTCATCCATCCCTCTTCCTCATAAGCTACAAAAAACGCAACCCCCTGCCACACCACCAGACGTGTCCGTAGGCCGCGCTGGGTGTTTCGCTTGAACTGTTATTTCAATTTACTATCCTGAGCAGAACAACTCTAACACTTACAAGGCTGGAGGACATGCCGTTTGCCCTTAGCGCTGCGCACCTTCGTCTTAAACGCTTGCAGCATTTTTCGCATATAGAGCACGAGTCGGTTGCACAACGCGGCTTTCGCTTTTGCGCCGCGCAGGTTCGGTTTTTAAACGTGCCACCGCTACATTGATCAAGGTCAGTAAAACACATGGGACTGCCGCCCTAGCGCCGCGCACATTCGTCTCACAAGCCTGCAATAATTACAAGGTGGGAGCGGTACGTTTTCACGACTATGTTCTCCCCTTTAGCGCCGCGCACATTGGTCTGCAAATCTTGCCACAGCATGGAGGGCAATACGTTGTCGACATGGGACTGTCGCATTAACGCCGCCCACATTCGTCTCACAAGCTTGCAGCAATTACTAGGACGGAGTGCGGGACGCTTCTAAACTTGTGCTATCTCCAATCGCGCCGCGCACATTCGTCTTCAAATCTTGCAACCATCACAAGGATGGAGGACGGGTCGTTGACAACACCCGTCGCCTGTTTGAGACGTCATCAAATCAGAAGCTTGGGCACACATAACCACTGCACGGATGGACCACGGCTCGCTTTCAAAATTGAACTGTCCTCGAAATTGATGAACAAAGATGTGAACTTGCGGAACGGGACGGCCGCGTGCCGAAACGGGGCTCTCGCTGGACACCTCGGTGAACGCCATGATCCTATCGCTTCGCGCTGATATTCAGACTTGCCAGAGAACGGTGCAGGCCGGAGCTGGGTTGAAACGGCGTGCAAGTGTGTCCCGCCTCGCATGGAGTCCAGACTTCCTTTCAGGCTTCGCCACGACCCTCATCCGTGCAAGTAGCATTGTCGAGATCCAAAACAAAAACTCCTAATCAGCCTCGAGCTCATCTGTATCTCTAAGACCGGCTTGCCCAAGACGATGACAATCTTAAGGATGTGCCTGGATGACCTGAGGGACTATTTAAGATCGGCACCAAGGTAAGGTGAAGCCAAGCATAGGTAAAAATGTTCAAAACTGGTCAACTGCCTCTTGGGCAACTCAATCGATCGTCGTTTCTCACGGAAGAATCCCGGCGTCTACGCACGAGGGCGCCTTGTCCACTCGCCGGTGCACATCCGGCAGCAGGTGAGCACGCTCCAAATGGTGCTGTGCACGTCGGCGTGCACCCTGTCGTCGCCGGTGATCAGAAACAGGAACCTGTTTACGGGTCTTGCAGGGAGGGAAGGGGGAAACTCAGACGCCAGACATCCGACGGTATGATTTTTTGCTGAAGTCGGAGGGGTGTGGTACAATGGGGTGTGGTGGAAATGCTGAGCATGGCGACTTCGTTTACGATCGCCACAAATGCGTTGCAACGCCCGCGCTATGGTCGCGGGGCGACCGCCCGCACTGCGCAGAGTGTTCTGTAGCGCTGCTGATCGGCGACCCGTAGGTGCTGTGTCTCGTGGCTATCACCATCACCATCACCATCACCATCACCATCACCATCACCACCACCATCACCATCACCACCACCACCACCATCCCCATCCCCATCATCATCATCATCATCATCATCAACATCATCATCATCATCATCATCATCATCATCATCATCATCATCATCATCATCATCATCATCATCATCATCATCATCACTGACACCAGCCTCTGGATCCTACTTCGGGCTCTCTTGGGCCATCTTGGGGGCCTCCTGGGCCGTCTTGGGCCCCCTTGGGCTGTCTTGGTGCCGTCTCTGGGCGATCTTGGGGACCTTTTGGGCCGTCGCGGACGCTGTTCTGACCAAAAAAGCGAATATGTTAAACTTGTACGTTTGCCCTCATAGTTGGGGGCGATGTTTGTTTCTTAATGCCCCCCCCTTGGGGCCCTCATGGGGCACTCTTGGGCCAACTCGGGCGTCTTGGGGCTCTCCTGGGACGGTCTGGGGACCGCTTCGGGGCCTCTTCGGCCGTCTTGGAGCGGTCTTGGGGGCCTTTTGGGCCGTCGTTGCGGCTGTTCAGGCCCCAAGGGCGAATATGCAAAATATGGAAGTTATCCTGCGGGAATGGGGCATCTTTGGTCCTTTTGCGGCCTTCTCGGGGAGCATCTTGTAGCCTTCTTGAGGCGTACCGAGTCTAGGGCCTTTCCTGTGGTAGCGACGACGACGACGACGACGATGACGCAACGTCGACGATGACGACGACGAGGGGCAGGAGGAAGTGCAGGGCCATGTTTGGGTAATCTGTTGGACGCTTGTGGCGTGTTGGGAGCCTCGGGCCAACGTGCGCTTCCTGAGTCTCCCTTCGGTCTTCCTCGGGCCGTGCCGTGGGACATCTCTGTATCCTCATGGCTATCATGAGGGCGCTTTCTGGGATCTTTGAGCCGTATCGTGCCTCTCTTAGGGCTTTCGGGGGCGTTTGGCGTCAATCTGTTCGATTGGACTTGGCCATCTTGAGCTTCTCTCGGTGCCCCCGCGAGGCTCGCATTGGGGATGGCCTGGGGCCAAAGAAAGAGAGGAACTGGTGAAGCCGCCACCGTGCCTGGGTTGGTGCAGAAACAGCTTGGATGCTTGTTTCTGGTTGACCCAAAAGGGGGTCCAAAGACATGGGGGTGGTGCAACTGTCCGACAATCGACTCCGCGTCAGAGTGAAACGGGGGGGTCATATCAAAATGCGCGCCTCGATTATTCAACGAGCGCACGAGCCGCCGATGTCTCAACGGCCCTCATCCGTGATGTGGGGGTGGTGCAATAGACTTGGTGCAATAGATTTGCGGGGTTGCTGTAGATTTGGGGCGTGCGATACATTCTGGTGGGCAGATGTATTGCTGGGTTTTCGCGTGCACTTCAATAGTTGTAATACAATGCAACCCCATTTTCTGGCTCGATACATTTGCAATACAATTCCGCCAAACCTATTGCACCACACCCTTTCAGCTGGACTCCATTGGGGTAAACCAAATGGTTGGGGTCTCTTGGGAAACTTCCGGAGAGCCTCTTGGATGCAATTTTGGCCTGCCAGGTTCCGCTTGCGCTTTCTTTGGGCTACTTTTGGGCCGCCTGGGGGCCTCTTGGGGCCTCTCGGGGGTTCGTGGAGGCACGCTGCCAGTCTCGTTGGCCTCCTGGGACCCTGCTGGGGCTCTCGTGGGGCCTCTTCGAAATTTCTGGGGGACCTGTGGGGGCCTCTCGGGAGCACCTTCGGCCGCTCTGATGCTGGGGACGATGTCAGTTGTACTTTGCCTGTATGGGCAGTGACAGGTCATAGCTCGTGAGGAGCTGGGTCGGACCTCGACGTTGCCCCCACAGTCCATCCTGAAACATTCCAGGCGTCTACTGAGCTGGACGGCCCACAAACTCTCAGAGAGTGCGTGCCTGCATAACGCTCGTGAGGAGCTGGGTCGGGCCTCGACGTTGCCCCCACAGGCCATCCTGAAACAATCCAGGCGTCTACTGAGCTGGACGGCCCACACACTCTCAGAGAGTGCGTGCCTGCATAACTCATGTCCGCTCTGCCATCGTCGCCCTGTCAAATGTAGAACAACTGCCACCTCTTAAAATCATAAAAAATGCCAAGCGGAAACTAACAATGTGCCACTCAAGTGTCTGATTCAAGAGACCAAGCGCGGACACGTGGCGCGGGCCGTAATTACGCATTCATCTCGCAATGATCGCCTCATTCTCGCAAAGATGTGCGCCCTGTGCTGGTGCTTCGAGCTCGAGCACGGCGACGAATGTGAACGCTGACACTGCCAGCGCGCTGTTGGTAGAAGGAGGGAGGAGGCCGCGGAACATAATGCAATTGCGGGCATGCATGAAGATACTCGCTAGCCGCACGGATGCCAATCCGTGATGGAACACTTGCCGGTCTGGAGCTACACGCTCACCGTAGCGGGCGCAGACACGCTGCAGATGCAAACCTGAAGTTCTCACAGGCCATGCATGTTTACTTCAAAGCTTGTTCCATGTACCCATTCAGAGTGAGGGTGCCGAACGGTCTTCACTGTCCCTGGGTGCGTGTCTGAAGTAGGAATCCGCGGCGCGGATTCTGCTTGTACGTTGTTTGTCGGTGTTTGTTTTGTGGTTGTTCGAATTATTGTTTGTTGTTGGTTGTCTGTATTTGTTTATTTGTTTGTTGTCTGCTGTCGTGGTTGGTTGGTTGGTTGGCTGGCTGGCTGGCTGGTTGGTGTTATTATCGTTGGTGTTGTTGTCGTCGTCGTCGTTGTCGTTGTCGCTGCTCTGCCGCTGTCGCTGTCGCTGTCGCTGTCGTTGATGTGGTTGTTGTTGTTGGGTTGTTGAGCTCGCGCTTCTGAATAATCGTTCTGGTTGGTCCACCCCCCTACGGCGGTAACATGTGTTGATTTTCTTGAAGTGCTCCTCCTAAGGCTCGCACCCTATTTTTCTATAGAATGAAAATCTTGAACGTCAGATTGGACCCCTGCCCCCCGAATTACAACAACAACGGCTCCCGCCTGATACTTCCTGACACTGTATTGATAAATCTGGCTTTCGCTTGAGACTTCCTTGCAACTGATCCAGGGATCGCGCTCTCGCCAGAGACTTCCTCACAATTTATTCCTACCCCCCCACTACTGCTAATCTCTGTCGGGCTCCATCTTCCTCTCTTCCCCCTTGCCTCTTGCGCCTTCCCTCCTCCCTCCCTCCCCGCACTCCGTTCATCCTCGCTGTATGTATTTTTTCAGTCTCTACCCTCTTCCTGTTTTGGGGGCTGCGCCACCTTCACGTGGCAGGAAACGAAGACATGCCCCCCAAACGGGATACGGTCGAAGACAGAGAGGGCGGGCATCGAGGGCTAGGGATATACATGTTGATTGACACTCAAACAGGCAGGTAAGACCGAACAACCTCAAAATGATTGAATCCTCACTTATGGAAAATATAACTTGTTGATCTCCCGCGGTGCACCTTGTTCTGTTCACTGAAAACGCTCTTCCTGGGGATCGCTGTCTTTTGCAAAAGGGAGGTCTTGAACGGCTCATATTCAATTGTTGGCCCCCGAACTGCAACAACAACGGCTCCCGCCTGACACTTCCTCACAATGTATTTCAAGGTCGCGCTCTCTCGCGGACTTCCTCTTCATTTATGCAAAGATCTCGTTCCCGCGTGCGGTAATTTACTGCGGGGCCGCGCCCCAATCCTTAGGAATCACGCTCTCGCTCGAAATTTCCTTGCGATTCATAATGGATTGACGCTTCAGCGACCCGCCTGCTTGCTCGACCTGGCCGTTTGGGCCCGCCCGCCCGACCTGCCCATTAGGCTCCGCCCGCCCGACCCGCCCGTCTACATCTGCCGCTTGTGTTCATGCTCCTTGCCCCTCCTGCAAATCTCTCTTATATTGCATCCTTCTCTCTCTCCCTTGTCTTTTCCCTCCTCCCCTCCCAGGTGTTTGGGGCTGCGCCAACTACACGTGCCAGGAGAGGGATATATACAGACCCCCATACGGGTACGATCGAAAACGAAAAGGGCGGGTACCGAGGGCGTGGGTAACTCATGTTGACAGATACGCGAACGATTGTTGTTGCTGCTGTCTTCAACTGATCGTTTTATTGTTAAACGTATGTTTGTTGTTGTTGCTGCTGCTGTTGTTGTTTTTCGTTGTTGTTGTTGTTGTTGTTGTTGTTGTTTTTGTGTTTGTGTTTGTTGTTGTGTCTGTTGTCTATTCCCCAAACGATGCTTGCACTTAGGGGCCCTTAAAAAAAAACTGAGTCGATTGGCCGGTCTGGCGGCTGTGTGGCCGCCGTCGCGGCCCCGTCGCCGCCTCGTCGCCGCCTGTCGTCTGGGCCGCTGGCCGCTCTGGCGGCTATGTGGCCGCCGTCGCAGCCGCTGGCTTGCACCACGTAGATGCCGCGAACAACAAATCGCACATGCGGCGCGCTCTTCGGTCACGCACACCATAACTTGCACAACTTTCTCCTTTCTAAAAACAGATTAGACTCTACCCCCTCCCCGGCGTTCGCCGCCCCCCTTCCAGGTATGTGAATCATATACGATTCTGACCACAGGTCCATCCGAAATTTGAATTTTCACTATCCCAGGGGAACCGGTATCGGTCCCCCTGAGGTTCCCTCGTTAAAAGCGATCCGCGGGGACATCTTTTATTCTAACATAAGAGTTTTCACAAATCCCTGGTAACAAAAAACAAGACGAAGTGCGCACGCGCGCGTCGTCGCGCGCGCATGCCGAATCCTTCAAAAACCTTTGGTGTCGTAAGGGTTTCGCAATCGCGTTTCCAACAAACATAAAAAACATGGTTTCGCAAGACTGATTTACTAAAAAAATCACGCGCGAGTTCTTGCGAAATCTTAAACAACTATCGGTTTTCAAGGTTTTGACAACATGCAACCAAACGGGCTTCGCGCGCGCATGTCGAAATCTGTCGAACGCCTTTGCGCGTGTGCCGTCGCGAGAACCCTCTAGAACACATGGGACGAAGTGCAGACGCGCGCGTCGTCGCGCGCGTATGCCGAAACCCTTCAAAACCCATCGGTTTCGGAAGGATGTCAAAATCGTGTGCCAAAAAACATCAAAAACAAAAGGTTACGCAACACGGATTTTCAACAAAAGCGTGCGCGCGCGCGCGCTCTTGCGTCGTCGTCGTCGTCGTCGTCGCCGTCCTCCATCCTCCCGCGTCGTCGTCGTCGTCGTCGCCTACGTCGTCCTCTGTCCTTCCTCGTGTTCGTCGTCGTCGTCCTCTTTGGCGTCGTGGTCGTTTCCGTCGTCGTTGTCGCCGTGGTCGTCTTTCCTCTTCCTCTTCATTCGTCGTCGTCGTCGTCGTCGCCCGTCGTCGCCGTCTCGTCGTCGTCCCTCATATTTCGTCGCCGTCGTTGTCGTCGTCGTTGTCGTCGTCGTCGTTGTCCCTCCTCCCTCGTCGTTGTCGTCGTCGGCATCGCCTTCCTTCCTCCTTTTTCGTCGTTCGCGTCGTCGCCGTCCTCCCTCCTTCCTCGTCGTTGTCGTCGTTGTCGTCGTTGTCGCCGTTCTTCTTCCTCCCTCGTCGTATTCGTTGGCGACTTCGTTGTCGTCTCGTCGTCGTCGTCGTCGTCGTCGTTGACGTCGTCGTCGTCGTCGTGTCGTCGTCGTCGCCGTCGGTCGTCGTCGTCGTCGTCCGTCGTCGTCGTCGCGTCGTCGTCGTCGTCGTCGTCGACGGCGTCGTTGACGTCGTCGTCGTCGTCGGTGTCGTCGTTGTCGTCGCCGTCAGCGTCGTCATCGTCGTCGTCGTCGTTGTCATCGTCGTCGTCGGCGTCGTCGTCGTCGCCGTCGTCGTCGTCGTCGGTGTCGTCGTCGTCATTGTCGGCGTCGAAGTCGTCAGAGACTTCGTCGGTGTCGTCGCCCTGCTGGGATGCGCCCAACACTCAGCGCTACCGCGGCCGCGCCACTCGCGCCGAACTAGCTGGCCGCTGCGCGCGCGCTTGGGTTGGCGCTGCCGCAGAGATGGGCCACCTAACTCCAAGCACTCATCGCAAGCGTCACCACATGGGTTTCGCAAGCCAAGTTGCGGGTGGGCGGGTGGGATGTTTGCAGGAGCGTGGGGTGTGTCAGCTCGTTTGCGAAAATCAAATGCAAAACATAGATTCCCCTCTCACAGCGAATAGTTTCGACCCCCCTCCCCACGCCCACGGGATGATTCACCGTGCCCGCTGTCGTATCACACATCGTCCATCCTAAATATGAACTCGCACCATCCCAGGCAGACCAGTCCCCCCCCCCCCGCCCAGCCATCCTTTGCAAAACATACTATGCGCGCGCTCTGTATCAAAACCACTCGCTTCAATCATCCTTCGCAACGAATGCGACGAAATGCGCGTCGTCGCGCGCGCATGCCAGAGTCTTTCCAAAACTTTAGGTTTCGTCGGGACTGTAAAACCGAGTGTCTAAACAACATATGAAACACATGGTTTCGTGTCGCAGGCGTTTTTTTTGTCGTTCTAGAAAATGCCCTCCACCGCAAAAAGAAGAACTTGCGCGCGCTCTGGCGAACTCGTGAACTTAATTTTTAATATGCATGCACATATGCGGGCGCCCTGTCGCGCGCGCTGCCACGATTATGTTTTGCAACGTAATGGGGCGAAGAGCGCGCGCTCGTCGTCGCGCGCGCATGCGGGAATACTAAGATAACTGTGGGCTTCGCAAGGATTTCAAAACTGAGCGCCCCGATACCAATTAAATCATAAAGTTTGGTAACGACCATTTTGTTTGTTGTAGTTTAATGCGTTCGTTTTGCAATTTCCCTAAAGAAAACCATATTTGCACATGAATTATAATTCATATCTGCCGAACTGGCTCCTCGAGCCGCACGCCGAAATCAGTCGAACGCCCATGCGCGCGCGCTGGGGGGGGGGGGGCATGTCAAATCGTGTCACGCGGCCGCTCTCGCACGTCGGCAACGCGCGCATTTCGAGCTCCTTCCGAAACCTTCATCGCCGACGCGAAGCACCGTCATCGTCGTCGGCGCGATCGGCATCGGAACGGTCACTGGCCGTGTTGCGTCGCAGTCAGCATCGCCGCCCGCATCGTTACCATCATCATCGCGTCTACCATTGTCGACGTTGCCATGGTACCGCCCGCGCCCGCCCAAATCGCCGACTCGCACTGATTTGCCCGCTGGGATGTGCCCGGCGGTCAGTGCCGCCGCGGCCGCGTCGGTCGCGCCCACTTAGCTGACCGCTGCGCGCGCGCGCTGGCGCGGCCGCAGGGATGCGCCACCCAACGCCAGGCGCTCATCGCAATCGCTTC